CCACCCTCGAACCTCTGGGCGGTCCAAATGAAAATTGTTAAACCAAAAAGGTGGCTTTCTGGGTGCGTTGTTGGCTTCTTTGGCCTCTAGTGTCATTGGACCTATCATCGGTGCCATTCGGCAGTGATAGGGTATATAAAGGAGAGACCTTGGACTCTGGTCTCAGTCATGAAGCCTCAACAGACCTTGAACGATTTCTTAAAAACCCCTCACAGTTGGCGGAATCATATTTTGAACGATAAAAAAGTCGTGGATTGTTTATGTGAATGTATTGGTAATTTGATTCGGGGCACCTTACCACTATCAGCTGCAGAAACAAGACGTTTACGATCAAAGTCAACCTTACTTAGACGTCTGGGCACTCCCAAAACACCTTGGAAAACCCGTAAGAGATTACTTCAACAACACGGTAAAGGATTGTGGAAACCCGTCTTTCATCCTTTGCTTAACAAATTAAAACAGCGATGAAGTATACACGAAAAATGAGATTGGTCCCAGCAGATGAACCAGAGAAGATTGTGACGGTTAAACCTTACGAACCCGTGTACGATCAAAATCCAGTGAAAGAAGCTTTAGAAGAATTAAGTCAAGAAATGCAACGTTTACTCAAGTCCAATACTTCAGACGATATTAAAATGGACCAATATGGTCAAATGTTGCAGCGATATCGAATACTACAAAATAAAAGACATGCACGAACCATACCCGAGGCAACAAACAACAAACCTGACGACATCGCTTCCGTGGAAAAACCGGATATTTTAACTTCGGTACCTAAAACATACCAAGGCCGAGCTCGTATGTTATTAGAGCATTTGGAAAAGAAAACACCCTACTCATGGAACGAATTGACCCATGGCGGTCAGGTAATGAAAGGCACGAACGTGGTGGATATCGTCAATGATTTCATTCGTAACCGCAAGACAAATAATACCCCTTTTGGTTGGGAAGCTGTCATGAGAAGTTTGAGAGAATCAAATATACCTCGAGAAGCCATTGGAAACGATCGTAGATGGGAATTGTTTTCGACACCTCAAACACAACCATCTCCGCCCGCTTTTGAAACTCCCAAGAAACGTACAAGTAAAAAGCAACAGAGGAAAGAAAGAAAATGGCTATCTTTTGACAGCCTATAAAAGAAGCTCACAAACATTAGCAGGTCAAAGATGAAGAAGCTAGCACAAGTCTATTATGATCCGGCACATCCTGCGGGATTTAGTGGCGCTCAGAAACTGGCCAAGGCTACTGGAGTGCCATTAAAGAAAGTCAAAACCTGGTTAGCGGGTCAACGGACTTATACTTTACATAAACCTCTCAAGAAAAAAATCAAACGATCACCTACGCTAGTAGCAGGCATCGATCACCAATGGCAAGCCGATTTGAGTGATTTGAGTAGTCTCGCCAAGAAAAACAATGGTTATCGCTTTTTGTTGTGTGTGATTGATGTTTTTTCCAAATATGCCTGGGTCATACCCATCAAAGACAAGAAAGGTGAAACGTTGGTTCGAGCTCTCCAGAAAATTAA